CTCCGTATAGTTTAATGAGCCAGTTATTAGCAGTGACGCAGCAAGTTTTTTTGCCGCGCTCGTGAGTGACGCGGGATAATAGGCCTGCTGTTAAAGTCAGTCGGATTATTCAGTGCTGATGTTGAATACTCCCGTGTTTTTTTGTAATATACATCCAGATTTTTGTTAGTTCAAACGAACTCAAAGAGTAGTGGATGCTGTGTTATTTTTGCGAGGATTTTTGCGTTGGAAAGCATCGTGTGTTCATTGTTTGCTCTGATTGATCGCCGTTGGACGGGATTGTGGCCTTGTTGGATCGTGCTGTGCTTTCAGGATCACGAGGGCAATCGTTGGGGATCAAAGAGTTGAAGGAACATTACCCTGCCTTTCCAGACTCCTTTCAGCGCTCTGTTCTGGACCCAAGGATGGTGATGTACAATATTGAGTTCACATTTCCTTGAATATTGGTAAGACATCTTTTCTTTTCACCGTATTGAGACAGAACTGTGCTTTAAAGGAACTCTCGATCGAAAAACTGGAAATTGTGCGTTTTTCCACAGAGACTTATTTGTTTACCAGTCTATGGACATTTTCACTCGTGAATGGACTGAGTATATTTTTCCTGAATTTTGAAAGTGAACTCTAATTTGATTTGAACTCATTTGATTAATACTGATTGTGAATGTGAATCTTGTCATTGTTTAAGGTGTGACTGAAACACTAGCACATTGATTCTATTTCATTTATTATTGTCTATATTTCATTTCATTTTGAGCTGATTGAGTTTAAAAGAATTTAACTTTTTATGTGAAGAAACATAAGAAAAGAAAACTCATTCAATTAGTCTCATAAGACTAATACTTTTTGTTTAAATAAATATTTGTTTGTTTAGTTACATTGAGTTAACTGAAGTCCTTTATACTAAGGAGTGGGGCCGTCTCATCTATCCTGTTAGATCTGGGAGGGTGGGTTTTTCTGAGTTTTTACACACTCACATACACACTTCAGGCTACCACCGTGATAAAGTTAGATCCTGAAGCCCACCTCACTTTATCTGTAGCTCCATATAGCAACACGATAGACACTCACATATAACCACTAGTTATACTGAGACCTAAAGCATTGGGTGGGGGGACTAAGATCCTGTTGCTCACTCAGTCTTCCTTAGTGCAAAGTATATTATTTGCCCCACAAGGCGGTGGCATATTCCCCTCCGCCACATGTGGTACATTCAGTTGATTGGACATGATTTGAAAAGGCATACATCTATCTATATAAAGTCCCAGGGTTGACAGTGCATGTCAAAGCAATAACCAAGCATAAGCCCAAGGGAATTGCCTGTAGACCTCTAAGATAGGACTGTTGAAGCACAAGGCTGGAGTAGGTTACAGAAAAATTTCTGCTGCTCTGAAAGTTCCTATAAACACAGTGGTCTTCATCATCTGTAAGTGGAAGATGTTTGGAACCACCAGAACTCTTCCTAGAGCTAGCCGGCCATCTAAGATCAATGATCGGGGAGGTCATTCTTCTGTGGAGAGAGGAGAACCTTAAAGAAGGACAACTATCTGTGCGGCAATCCACCAATCAGGCCTTTATGGTAGTAGAGTGGACAGACAGAAGCCACTTCTTAGTAAAAGGGCACATAGCAGCTGACCTGGAATTTGACAAAAGGCATCTGATGGATTCTCAGACCATGAGAAACAAAATTCTCTGCTCTGATGAGACTAAAATTGAACTCTGGAGTGAATGGCAGGCGTTACGTTTGAAGAAAACCAGGCACCGCTCATCATCAGGCTAATACATTCCCTACAGTGAAGCATGGTGGTGGCAGCATCATGCTGTGGGGATGTATTTCTACTCAGGATAGAGGGAAAGATGAATGCAGCAATGTACAGAGACATCTTAAATGAAAACCTGCTTCAGAGTGCTCTTGACCTCAGACTGGGGCAACTGTTTATCTTCCAGCAGGACAATGACCCAAAGCACACAGCCAAAATATCAATGGAGTGGCTTCACAACAACTTGGTGAATGTCTTTGAGTGTCCCAGTCAGAGCCCAGACCTGAATTCTATTGAACATCTCTGGAGAGATCTGCATATGGCTGTACACCGTCACTTCCCATCCAACCTGATAAAGCTTCAGAGGTGCTGCAAAGTGGAATGTGCAAAAATTCCCAAAGACAGGTGTGCCAAGCTTGTGGCATCATATTCAAAAAGACTTGAGGCTGTAATTGCTGCCAAAGGTGCATCAACAAAGTATTGAGCAAAGGCTGTGAATACTTGAGTGCATGTGATTTTTCAGGTTTTTAATTATTTATAAATTTGCAACAATTTAAAAAAATCTTTTTATACATTGTCATTATAGGGTATTGAGTTTAAAATGTTGAGGAAATAAAATTAATTTAATCCATTTTAGATAAGGCTGTAACATAAAAAAAAAAAAAATGTGGAAAAAGTGAAGCGCTATGAAGAGCTTTCAGATGCACTGTATGTCTGAAAGTGCTGACATATGAAAATATATGCAAATTACACATATGGAATATAAATTCATAATTGTATTTCATATATGCAACATATATTACAAAATCTTTAAAAAGTCCATTTACATATGCATATTTTCTCATGGATTTTATATACTATGAAATTATGTACATGTTCATATATATACAAATTCTTATATAGTTAAAGTCAGAATTATTAGCTCCGCTTTAATTATTTATTTTTTTTTTCTTGTTTAACAGAGCAAGGACATTTTCACAGTATGTCTGATAATATTGTTTCTTCTAGAGAAAGTCATTTTTTTATTTTGGCTAAAATAAAATAGCAGTTTTTCATAAAAAAAAAAAAAAACATTTTAAGGTCAAAATTATTAGCCCCTTTAAGCTATATTTTTCCTATACTCTACAGAACAAACCATCATAATACAAAAACTTGCCTAATTCCCCTAACCTGTCTAGTTAACCTAATAAACATAGTTAAGCCTATAAATGTCACTTTAAGCTGTATAAAAGTGTCTTGAAAGACATCTAGTCAAATATTATGTACTGTCCTCATGGCAAAGATGAAATAAATCAGTTATTAGAAATGAGTTATTAAAACTATCATGATTAGAAATGTGTTGAACAAAATCTGCTCTCTGTTAAATAGAAATTGGGGGAAAAAAATAAACAGGGGACTAATAATTCAGGGGTGCTAATACTTCTGACTTCAACTGTATATAAAACCAGATTTCCCAGTGTGAACTTATCATGACTGCAAATTGTCCCACATGCACAAAAGAACATCTATAGAGGAATAACTTTCTAAATATGTACACAATGTGCAAACTGTATTAGGTGAATAAAGCATGTCTTCAAATTAGGTTAATATATTTATTACAGCCATTTTTGCAACCAACAACATCTATTTCAAGAACTATAAATGGTTGTTTAGTTAATAGTTGTCTGAAACATAAAATAAGTTGCAATCTATAAATTGTAATATATGACAAGCATAACATGCGTCTTTGCCCACAAAGGAAGGCAAATGGATTTGAATTTAGCAGCTGATCATGGTATGCTTGTGATTGTGTGCTAGAGAACAACAAAGAATGACTACTAGTGCACTCATAAAGGGTTAATGAGCAGCATAAGAGAATGTTTGTAGTATGTGCCAGTGAAGAATGATGACGTGCCATTAGAAATGATGTAAAACTTACACGAATTTTGACATAACCGTTCACATTGAAGTTACATTACAAAACTTGAGATCTGATACTGATTTAATACCACAAATGAAATTGGTACAAATCAGTATTGAAGATCAGACTTCATGCTGTTTGCGTTGTTCACACTGTCATAATGACCAGACAGTTTTGAGTGACATATGGCCAATTATTTTTTAAATTGTCTGCAAAGTTTGCCAAATTTTAATAATACCCACCCAAGGCATGCCTGGGTAGACTGAATGTACTCCCAGCAGGCACACAACTTCATATGATATAGGTATTTGGTTATGTTTTGATTGCAACGTCAGGAGAGCAAAATCCAATGTCAGTTTAACGTCAAATGATGTTATAATGTGACGTCCATTAGTAGACGTTGATTTTTGGTTGATTTTAGGTTGTGGAATTAACCAACCAATATCCAGTGTTCTCTTTACGTCAAAATGTGACGTCCATACAATGTCAAAGTCTAACATCAGTAGACATTGATCTTTGGTTGGTTTTAGGTTGTAGAATTAACCAACCAATATCCAGCATCATCTTAACATCATAATGTGACATCCATACAATGTCAAATCTAACATCAGTAGACGATCTTTGGTTGGTTTTAGGTTTTGGAATTAACCAACCAATATCCAGCGTCATCTAAACGTCATAATGTGACGTCCATACACTATCAAAGTCTAACATCAGTAGATGGTTATCTTTAGCTAGTTTAAATTTGTAGCATTATCTGCCTGACATCTTTCCGACATTGGCTTTGTGCTTTGTGTCTGGGTTCGCAGTAAATCTTATATCAGGATTTTAAACTTATGTTAAAACATATGCTGATTTTTTGTTTATATTTGGCGGAGTAACTGAGGAACAAAGGCACAGTCTTTATACAGAAAGTGTACACTGTGTTTTTCTTCTGATCAAAAGATGGGTATTTGCAGCCTGATATACTCTTATAAACAATCACAGTATTTTGAGCTGAAAGTTGTGGGGACACCTGAGACTTACACTTTACTTATTTTAATGTGCATAATTTGACCCATTTCATTTGAAAATATGTTATTTGCAACGAGTCAAGGGATTGTATTTCTTTTTTTTTCTTTTCTTTTTTTTTTTTTTTTTGCTCAGAATCAATTATGTCAATGTTGTGATTCTCCTTGTAGCATGCTGTTGTTTTTTCATGGCTTATTACTTGAAACTACACTAGAAAATAAATGGAAGAAGTACTGCAGAAAGCAATGCAACTGATAATGTGAGCAAATACTAATACACAAGTTTATAAGAAAGAATACAAGTTATAATAAATAGCAGTGAGATATTCTTACACGACTTTATTGAAGGAGCCAGATATCATCCTGCAGCTCTGGCCGTTTCCTCCACACACAGCACATTTGTCCAGCTTCTTACTAGAATCGATCTCCAGGTCACAACCAGCTTTGATACACTGGCCTTGCACACAGAAGGATGTGGTATCAGGACCACATGGGGTTCCATCAATGACCTAAAATTAAAACAGGTGAAATTGTTTTGTGTATTTTATTTAATTATTAGGTTTAGTTGCTTCTTAACTTTTTAAAGTATGATCAACTTGGCGATACAGATCATTTCAAATTCAAGCTATATGATGTTGTAGGAAGGCAAATTATCATATGGATTTGTTTATATGGTAAAGCATGTCTTTTTTTTCCAAAGGTAAATGCTGATAAGATCAGGGACTGGTGTGTGGTCTTTGGGGGTTTTACGATGTGGTCACATGTTGATTGATCAGTTTGTATGTCTCAGTATTTGGGCTTTGGTCACATGATCAAGAAAGATACAAAAAAATGGTAAACTTTGCTCTGGTCTTTTCCTGCTCTGCTATGCTCCTCTCTTTCTCTGGAAGGCTATCTTCTTTGTCTCTACTGCTCTCTTTGGGGCCTACTCACTGCTCTTAGTCTCTCTCTCTCCCCGTCTCTCCCTCTCTCTCAGGTAACTTTATTTTGCATTTAAGCTGGGTACAAGTATTCCATGTATTATCCTTTTATAGTTATTTTGTAACTAATTCAGTTGTAATAGAGAATTATTGTCATTAAATCCTTTCATTTTCAAGTATTTGTGAATTACTTTTAATTTAACATCAACAATTAATTGCTCCATGTTGCAATACAACACAATAACATAATAGTAATGCTCTCCCACATTTGTGGCTATTATTACAGCCATTATTTCCATTTTTGGTATGCAGAAGGATGGCTTTACTAGAAATGTATACAGTATTCACCATCATACAGATTTTTTAGTCATTCGCCAAAACTTGTTGTAGTTGATATCCCACTCTTACAGTGTTAAAGTGAAAAAAAAGAAAAGCAACAAGATGTATCATGAATTACAAATCAGGATTTCTTACAGCGTAGATATGTACAGTAGCAGTGTATTTTGAGTTTGATTCTGAGTGTGCATCACACAGGAGAGTCAAGGTCACGGTTAAGGTAATTTACATAGCACCTAAAAAGCAACAAGTGCTGAACAAGGTGCTGCAAACAACAAAAGTATAAAGCATTAAAACTCTATAGAAAGTAGTGAACATTAAAAGACACAATAAAACAATGATGCAAAGCATCAAATGCAGAGTAAAACAAAGCAACATAAAAAAGTATTTTGGTCCCACTTTATATTAAGTGTCCTTAACTACTATGTACTTACATAAAAAAAATAAATACAATGTACTTACTGTGTTTATAATGTATTTGAGAACACTTGTGGTGCTTTTGAGTTGGGATTGAGGTTGGGTTATGGACAGGTTTGGTGGCATGGGTATGTTTAAGGGTGGGTTAAGATGTGGGGATGGTCAACAGTGTATTTACAAATGTAATTACAAAAGTTAAATACAGATGTAATTACATACATGTATTTAATCAAGCATAAGTACACAGTAAATACATGTATTTACACAATTAGTACATTGTAACAAACTATTAATTCCTGTGTAAGTACATATTAGTTAAGGCCACTTAATATAAAGTGGGACCAGTATTTTGAAGATAGTCAAAAACCAGAGACACAAGTTGTTGTTTTTTAAGTTACAGTTTATAGGACAATGAGGTTGGAAATGTTCTAATGGACACAAGGCAATGAGTTCTATAGAGTAGGAACAAAAACTGCACACTTTAGATTTTAAACAGGATGTTGAGACAATCAATAACTTCTGGGATGAGGATCAGTGTGTTCTCCCAGAATAATAGATTTTAAGAAGATTTGCAATGTCAGTTGGAGCAAGACCATGAAGAGCTTTATTTTAGGGCTGCATGATATTGATTAGAATCAGATGAATTGAATAGCTTTATTTGAAACATTTCATTCTTTTATATAGATTAAAATGATAAAATCTTTTTTCTATGCAGTGTGTTTGTATAAATTAAAATAAATAACATATATATATATATATATATATATATATATATATATATATATATATATATATATATATATATATATAGAAACGCAGCAGAGCAAAGATAAAAGTTAAATAAACAGTGCTATACAGTATTATATCAGTATTCAGGTACAGCAATTAAACAATCAAACATAAAATAACATGGTCATTGCTATTTAAATATAGTAATATTTAACAACGTTTTGTCTTTTAATCTGTAATAAATATATTCTTAGAAAAAAAGTACAGGGGCCGCACTGGGGCAGTACCTTTTTTAGAAGATATTCAAAGAGTCCACGGTAGAACCTCAAAGGTGCATATTAGTGCCCAAATGTAACTAAAAAGTACCTCTGAGGTACCATTATGGACCCATCAGGTACAAATACATGCCTTTTGAAAAGGTACTGCCCCAGTGACAGCTCCTGTACCTTTTTTCTAAGAGTGCAGAAAGTTTTTTTTTTATTAATTATTTAAAAATATATATTAATTAAAAATAACAACAAATACACCCGTTAACACAGGCTTTTCCCATCAAAGCCCCTTGCCAAGTATTCCACACCTCTACATTGTAATCTAATCCTGTGATGTGACTATTGCAAATGTACACACTGCGATATTGATGCTCAAACGATATATTGTGTTTATATACAAACAGTTAAACCTTAAAATAAACTTTAAATAAAATTTGAAGTAAAGCTAATTAATCCACATTATTCTGTACCAGTTGTTAATATGATATATATAGACTGACTAATTCCAGCATATAGAGTGTTACAGTAATCTGAGTGGTCTTGACAAACCTCCCGTAAGACACACTCCCTCCTCTGTATGCTTGGAGATAAAAACGTAGACTTCTCATAGCATTTGAAGTGCTTCGTTTATCCTCACTTGTAAATTACTTCAGATAAAGGTGTCTGCTAAATGAGTAAATGTAAATGTGTCTCCCAAATGTGTGCATGTAAATCTTTGCACGTGTAAAACAATGAACAATGTACCTTCGGTGCAAACACTCTGAATTCACTGCTGCCCCGTGCTCTGCAAAAGAGTTTACATCTATCCCGTAACGACACTCCAGCGTATTTCGGAATCCACTGCTTCACATTGCCATGAATATCAAAGTGATTGGGATTGTTGTACTTTTCACATTGCTCCTCCCGAAAACTTTTTCCTGCAATTGTGAAGAATTGTCACCAACAGCACAATATGAAGTTGCAGAAGGACTGAGAGATTAGAGAGATTAACTCACCTCGGTTATTCTCACAGGCCTGTTTGTTGCAGGACTGGTAATTGACTCTCTGGCCCACGCAGTATTTTCCTCCGTTTTGCGGAGACGGTCGGTTGCACTCTCGGTAGGAGAACATCACTCCACCTCCGCATGACCTGGAGCACGGCTGCCATGATCCCCACTCACCCCAGCCTCCATCCACAGCCGGCTGAACACACACCACAAACACATTCATTCACTGCACTTTCAATGTATGTGAATTCAGTGGCATTACTAAATAACAAAAAATAAATGACCACCAATGTATAAGTGTAAGTGAATACGTGAACATATTGCTTTCTCATTCAATATGTTGAAAATGACAATCGGTCAAAAAAAAAAAAAACAAGTGCTGCACAATTTCAGAAAAATCTGACATTGCAATATTTTCTTTTGCCATGATATACATTGCGATATAAATATAATTTCACCAGATGATTTGAATAGCTCTATTTGCAGAGCATCTGCATAAATTATAATAAATTAGGCAAAAATAAACAAATAAACAGTGCTTTATGCTTTTCTATTAGTATTCAAGTAAAGAAATTAAACAATCAAATGTAAAACAACATGATCATCCTTGTATATCATTCATTCATTTTTCTTGTCAGCTTAATCCCTTTATTAATCCGGGGTCGCCACAGCGGAATGAACCGCCAACTTATCCAGCAAGTTTTTTTACGCAGCGGATGCCCTTCCAGCCGCAACCCATCTCTGGGAAAAATCCACACACACACTCACACACACACTCATACACAACGGACAATTTAGCCTACCCAATTCACCTGTACTGCATGTCTTTGGACTGTGGGGGAAACCGGAGCACCCGGAGGAAACCCACGCGAAGGCAGGGAGAACATGCAAACTCCACACAGAAACGCCAACTGAGCCGAGGTTCGAACCAGCGACCCAGCGACCTTCTTGCTGTGAGGCGACAGCACTACCTACTGCGCCACAACCTTGCCCTCATCCTTGTATAAATAATAAAAAAATAAGATCTTTATCTTTTAATCTTTAATGAATAATCTAATTCTGTGATGTGACTAATGTGGCTACACACATTGCGATATCAATGCTCAAATGATATATTGTTCAGCCCTAAAAAAGTTTTAATTCTTGGGATTGACAATCAGGGTAATTCCACCAAATACTGATTTTTCTTCTAAAGTTAATTACATTTATGCATTGGTTTTGTGCTGTTTAAAAATACATATAGACGTCTGAAAACATGACATCTTTATATTTGTGAGGAAAAATGTTCTAACTGACATTCATATGAAAAATTTGAAAGCATTTTCATTGCCTATTAAAAAATCAATAGTTTACTAAACAAACTAACAAAATTCATTACAAATTATTAGCTTATATTATTTTTTAAACATTACTCATGTTATGTTTAACAGAGAAAGGAAATCTTTACAGTATTTCCTATTATTTTTTTTCCTTTAAGCTAAATACCAATACCTTGCAAAATAACTAGTAAATTATTAGGCACTGACATCATGGCAAAGCCAAAAGAAATTAGGATAACACTTTAAATTAATTGTCCGTTAGCTATAGTAATGCCATTTATTGTATCTACCAACATGAATAACCATTTAGTAATACATTTATTTTGTACATTTATTTATAGATATTTATTCACCTTTGTTAACAATATTTAAAATGAAAAATGTTAGTTCATAGTAGCATAATTAACTCACTGTGCATTGTTAACAACCACAACTGTGGATTTTAATAATGCATTAGTAAATGTTGAACAACGATTATTAAATTCTTTACAAGATTATTCATACATAGTTAATGTTTCTAAATATAATAACATTAACAAATAAACCATTATTCTAAAGTGTTACTGAAGTTAGTTATTAGAGCTAATACAAAAATGTTATTAAATTAAAATAAATATTACTTTTTCCATTCCAGAAATTGAGAAATAATGAATAAAGGAATAAAAAAACTGAACATTTGCTGGTAAAAATTATCAGAGATTTAAAGGAGTGGTCCACAACGATATCATATTTTAAACTTTAGTTGATGTTTATTGTAGCTGTGTAAACATAAACAACATCTCTAAATGTACTATGCTCAAAGTTCAATGCAAAGGGAGACAATGGCTTTTCCAGAGTAAGCTTAGCAAAGCCTACAGTGAACGAGGTTTGGGGACTTAAATACACCCGGGTTAGTGAGATCCCAAGGGCTTCAGGTTAAACGCATTCCCCATGCGCACACACCTTGCTCAGCAAAGGGGCATGGCCAGAGGCGCTGTATTACTGTAATGTAGCAGAGGAAGCTAAAAACTGCTATTAAAAGGCATCCAAAGGACACGATACAAAGAGAAAATAGCTTACAATTTAATTTTAATTATGTTGCAGAGAATTATAAAAAAATATTTAGCTAGTATTTGACAAAGGACAGTCTCCAAAATCTCTCCCAGTTCAGTGCTGGATTTAGCTAAAAAGTGCTCCAACCATGACGAAGCTGTGGATTGTGAGCCACAACCTTTGAGCAATTTTTTTGTTAAAATTAATTTATTGCATGCAGAGTTTCTAGCATTATGAGAATGAGGACGTAAACAAGGATATAAACAATGGGAAATGCTGTTTGGCACCGATAACAATTTAGCAATTAACAATTTCATATTTATCCATCGAATCACTGTTAACAGCCACAATCTTCAGCAGCGCTGGATTGTCTCTCCATGCGGGCACTTTCCCTGCATTCTATATCTCAAATAATGAACTCGCAAAAGATATGTGACCATTTCATATTTCTCACACAGGCTTATTCCGAATATATGTGAAAGACACTTGTCAGATGTTATTTTAGGCGTGAGGTTCAGCTGTGTCCTCTGTGTCATTTTCTGTCTGATTCAGGCAAAAACTGAAACGGCTAACAGCCACTCTTACTAAGAGTGTTTATACAGCGCGAAACTGTGTGCTTGTAGGGGCGTGACACTTTTCCTGGTGATGTGAAGCCGATCAATTATGTTAGCTGACCAATCAGAGCCTCTTGAGGGCGGGTTTTCAGAGGAACTAGGAAATACGACAGTCGTTTTCATGTTAGCTGAGTAGCAGTATATAATCAAAGTAAGAGAAATGAAAAAAAATTGGTGATTTTCTACAAGTGAAGCATGAGCACACATTGTTTTGCATCTTATTAACAACCAAGCCTTAAAAATACACCCTGGACCACCCTTTTAAAAAATCTGCATACATTATTTAAAATCTATTTTTTAAGTAAATGCATGTTTTGAGACCCAAATAACCATTTTTAAAATTGATTTAATAAAACAAAATTATGCTCTAGACATTGACCCTTTCTATTTGAAGCATCTTGTACTCATAAAATGAGTGAATTCAAGTCTAAAACGTGTAACACAGAGATGTTTTGATCTACCTGCGGCCTCAGGACATCCTCAGAAGACATGCACACACTGTTCAGGCAGGTCCTGTTGGTGCCGCAGCTCGTGCCATCCGCCCAGGGCAAACTCCCGTTTCGAGTCGTGCACATAGACTGGCCCTCCTGTTGACACCAAAGCCGCTCACACACCTCGCTGGATGAGGTGTTGGGACAATGTGAAAACTCCTCTCCAAATATCTGCTGGCACTGGCGGTCCAGACTGTAAGTTAGGCCTGGCAGCTCAGTGGGTAAAGCCACTGTGGTCTCAGGGGCGTCCAGTAAACAGTCTCCTGTTATTATCCAGAGGAAGAGTTAGAGAGAGCAGTAAATCGCTAAATCAAAGGATTGTGTAACAGTAGGAACATTGGGCTCCTGGAGCTGACATTTCGGGAGACTTGCAGGAATGCACATCTGGGGGAGTGAAGCGGCGAGGAGGAACACGAGTGAGCAGAAACACACGTGGGGAACATGGGCCACTGCCCACCTCAAATGATACAGCCGTTCGAAAAGGAAATGTGCGAGACTAAAGCTTCAGAGACACGAGACGTGGAAAGAAAACATTTGTTACATTCTCCTTTTATAAGCTGGAATGTAAAGTGACAGAAAGGACTGATTACTGACTCCATGGAAAGGATTTGAAAATGAATATGTATCTGCGTAAGTATAATTAAAAGGCAATGCAAAAGTTTTACTATAAACAAAAGGAAAGTATTTTGTATTGACACACATATTGCAAGCTCTTATAATTGTTGAAGCTGGGTCACTGACAAAAAAGTTAGACCATAAAAATTCAGTTCTTGCAAATATACTTTTGCTTTTGCTGATTTTGAAAAAAAGCAATAATTAACATTTTATTTCTTACTGACCTTTTGCATATTACATTTAATTTTTATTCTACATTTTGCTCAAAATGTTATTTTTATTTTCAAGACATGGTTCGATTTAAAGGGGTAGTTCACCCCAAAAATTGTGCTTTATTATACATCATTATGCAACAGGAAGAACGCACTATAAACTACATTGAACAAGCTAAGGACTATTTTCATGAATTTCATTGAAAAGGTTTGTTATCAATCTCCATTTTAACTGAGCAACTGCATTACTCTTACATCTTTGTTAAGTTTTATAATTTTTAAATAGTAAAAGATCACACTTTGTATTTATTTTTAAGACTTTGCAAAACTAAATTAAACTTTTTGTCTTCATTACGACAGCATGAAATTTTTTTAAGAGCCCCTATTATGGGTTTTTGAAAGTGACCTTCCATGCAGAGTGTAACACAGCACTAAATGAATGGAAACATCCAGCTGAGGTTTAAATCTGAAAGTACTCAAAGTTTAAAAATATTGATTCATTGAAGAAATTGTCGAGTCAGAGTCAAATAAATGAAACGTGTTGGGTCCAGATCTTTTGCTTGAACGCATTGACACAGTACATCACCAAATATGTAGTACCAGTTCAGGTAAAAACGTGAATGCGCCATTTCCTTTAGACACTAGCGGAGCGCGGGGGATCACGGGACTGATCATGACACAAAGATAATGATCACTGACAAATGGAGATTCGGCTGCAGGGAATAAAGGGTTAAAGTTTTTTTTTTCACAACAATACCACTGTAGCCAACCTGTCCTCTATTTGATTGTTGATACAATAACCTACACTGCAACGCGGGATTCGTCAGCCATTTGCTATTGAAGGAGCAGCAGAGACTATTGTGTATGGGATATGCCTGACTTTGACAGGGACTTTGTCAGTAACTGTTGCAGTTCATATGAACCAGTTTCTTCTTCCTCCGGATCATAACATGTAAGTGTAATAAAAATTGTTGCCTTGTTTAACCGCTCTCAGGTTAAATCTTTATGGGGTTATTCACATATTGTGAATAAAACCACATTGAAAACGCGATGCGTGCTTCTTCCTTTACCGATGTAAATGCGTTTCTGAACTAACGATCCTCTGCTGTTTGTTGCTATGTCCACCATCAGCTGTTTCTACACACACAGCGCGGACAATTTCTTTTTAAATTGTCCAGCTTTTGCCACTGTGTGGATTAGTACTAAATGTGTGTTGTTATTTTTGGGGTTAGGGTTAAAAGTAGAGTAATATGCCAGTGTTTAATTGCATTGCTTTATTGCATTCATGCATTGGGTTCTCAAATTGTGCTACTTCATAGCCGTAATGGGCATTTCTCTCTGTTATAATATTCAACATTGCGTTAAATTATTTTAAAAATATAAATGTAGATTTGGACATAAAAGTCTTAGGGTCCTATCATACAACTGGCACAATGTAGCGCTAAGAGCAACCCAATTGCTTTTTGCTGGTTTCAGCCTCACACAGTAATCTTTTTCACATCCTGGGCTATGTTGTTTAAATAGCAAGTGTATTTGCGCATATTTATTAACCCATTGGCTGCTGGTCTGTAAATTAGGTGTGTTCAGGTGCATTATTGAGGTGACACTCTGGTTTACCGCACGTTGTGCCCAATTTTAACAACAAGATAAGGTACAACCTTTTTAGACCTTGCACCAAATGCATTGACTGTTTTCACATCATTAAACGTGCAAAAAACGATTCGGACATGCCCTAAGAGCACTTTCACCATGTACTAAGGTCATTAAAATATGGCCCTTATAGTTATAGAAAATTCCCCTACAAACATTAAAAAAGCCTCGGAAAATAAATTGAGGGAGGCAAACAATGCTTAAGTTAAAGTTGAGTAACTTAGACTAACTTAGACTAACTTGACTAACTTTGTTAGTGAAAAAACAGTACCATGCAAACTACACCATGATGCTCATAAATTAAAGGATGTGCGTACCATGTCCATTGTCGAAAAACTCAGTGACGTACAAAGCACTGCAGGGTGACCAGGGTGAGGTTTTACTGAGCTGAGTGAATACAGGAGCCATGATATGATCCTCGCCTAGATGTCCAAAAAGCTGCTCACAGCTCTTAGTGTCATCATGAGGCATGCTCAAAACATGACCTAAAGGAGACACAAAGCCACATCATGGAAGAATTAGAGATCACAAGAGATCGTCAAATCAGCAAGATTTCTCACATAGAAGAACTATTTTTAGTTCTTTGTATAACCTTAAGGTAAACAGTTTTAAAAAAAGACTCATGTATTACATCATTTGAAGAACATTTTAATTATGCAGAGCACATAAACCCTTTTTTTTTAAAATAGTTACTACTGACGCCCAATAATGACAGTTTATTTGAAAATATATGACTCAGTCTACATTTTTGTGAAACATAAAATCAAACCTTTCAACAACTGTTTATGCTCATTTAAGACAAAATTATTTTTGTTTAAAAAAAAAAGACCAGGATGGATATGTTTACATATTATATTATTTCTCTGGTTTCACTGCATGTTTCAGATGTCAAATTTACTAGAGAATGCTGTCTACATTTTTGTGAATCTGAAATATGATACTTAGGATGCATTTTGTTTCAGATACATGTCTTTCTTGCACACAAGATGGGAGAGCTCTGGGACCCTTCCCTAATCCCAGGGCTGGATTAACCAATAAGCATTATGGGCTCAGGCCCAGGGGCCTGTGCGCACTTGGGGACCCTGATTTTGGAGAGTCTATTTAGGCTAAATGCAAATAGCGCACTTCGTTGGAATAAGCTAATTGAGTGATTCCCGCCCATCACCGTTTCATTGACAGAGACAACATAACTAAAGATCAAGACACACAGCAGTATGAGTGGCTTAGTTCGTAAAGTGCATGGCAGCTTGTTTTGACACGATCATAAACCTGGTTCGAATCCAGCATCCAATGAACTCGTTTTTCTTTCCTGCCCCCTACATATCAGATTTTGCTTACTCTTCATCACGAGGAAGACAAGTAGGAGTCATTAATAAGTGTGTGTATTATAGAAGACTCAGATTCATAAAACTGGATTGGAGAGGTGTTATATCCAAATCATATGCATTATAAGTGTGTAGAATATATACATTAAAAATACTCTTAATATAATTTTTGTGTACTGCTTCAGTGAACTTGAACAAGAATATTAAAATCCATTAAGTTTCACTAGTTGTATTAGTATTTTTTTTTTCTAATTATGCTTTAAATGCTTTAAAAATTTGTTAAATCTCTGTACATTAGAAATATATGTACTCTATATCATTTACTTTAAAAATGCAGGCAATACATTTTAGATCATTTTTATTTAAAAAATATTTTGTTATTCTTATTTTTTTATTTAACAATAGGGGTGCGACCTGGTAGGGGCCTACAAGACATTGTGCCCAGAGGCCTCTGAACTCTTAATCCGGGCCAGCCTAAACCCAATGAATAGTAAAAGTAGTAGTAAACCAATTCCAAAAGGAGACATTGCTTTACCTTATTTTTAAATAGCTTTTATCTGTTTTGTGGAACTGTGCTTCACTGGACTCGAACCCAAGGACTTTCCATCACAAGTACAACTCTGTATAAGGTGTGCTATCGAGCAAACTGACCACGCCTGAAAAGTTTATGTAAATATATTCAATAAAGTACAAATCACAGACATCGTTAAGCTGTTTTATGACATTTGGTGTTGTGCAAAGTAATGCACATAATAATTCTTTATTTGTCAATAGTATGTCTCTGAAACTGTCATTCATATGAAAAGGAACAACTGTTGTTGGTGTCATTCTGCCTGTGGTGTTAATTTTAACTAGAAACTGCAGTCAAATGTATGTTGAAGTACATTTTGTGGTTTCATATAGATGCACGCTGAAGCATGTTTTCTTACTAATTTTATCCTCACCTAGCTCATGTGCAGTTGTGTAAGCAGCCTGAAGGCCGTTGTCTTCAATCACAGAACAGCTCCTTTTAGTGTCACACATGGTTCCAACATCAGCTACACCCAACGTCTCGCAACTCTGATGTCCACAGATGTCCTGAAAGGCGATTTAGAATAAAAAAAAAAATGTCATTCTTGTTGCTGTTCCAGGTCTCTGGTTAATAGCAAAAGCAAAACACATATTTGCCAGTGTTTCCATCATAAAACCAAGCAAATAAATAGTTTTGGCAGAGGCAGACCTATGAAGTGAGAAAATGTATCTCAAAAACATGCCTGGAGTCTTTTCCATCTTTTGCCCAGAGATCCGAGACGGAGACGAATGTTTCCAAAGCAGAAGGCCACAAAACACACATGATTCAAGGCACATCTGGCCTTGGCTCAGTCTGAGAGTCGGACTCACATGTGTTCACCTTTCCGAGGAGCTGCTGTCTGCAGCGAGTCTGCTGCTAATTTCAGCTTCGTTTTCAGTTTCAATATGCCATAAAGTCTGCTGCTCCAGTAATGAGCAATGCACCACACACACTTTTCCACAGGTCAAGCTTATGTGGAGCTGCTGAACCCAAACACATACACACATTTTAAGTAGCATAATGTTTTTTAAAAGAAGCTTTTAATTGTACACTTTTACTAAACATAATTTAATGTGACTTTAATCAAATTAACAGTCTTTTTATGTACTTTGTACTTATTTAAATTATTAGTCAAAATAAAGTAAGGAATGTAATTTTCCTTACATTTTTAATTATATTTTGAAAATAATCTTTTTATTCATTCATTCATTTTCTTGTCGGCTTAGTCCCTTTATTAATCCGGGGTCGCCACAGCAGAATGAGCCACCAACTTATCCAGCAAGTTTTTACACAGCGGATGCCCTTCCAGCCGCAACCCATATCTGGGAAACATACACACACACACACACACACACACATACACTACGGACAATTTAGCCGACCCAATTCACCTTTGGACTGTGGGGGAAACCGGAGCACCCGGAGGAAACCCACACGAACGCAGGGAGAACATGCAAACTTCACACAGAAACGCCAACTGAGCCGAGGATCAAACCAGCGACCCAGCGACCTTCTTGCTGTGAGGCGAACTGCGTCGCCAATAATCTTTTTAATGATTTTTAATGATTTAATGATTTAAAAAAGTACACTTATTTTGGCATTTTTACAATGCACAACACATGCAAAGCTTTATTTTACCTGCAGCAGGTTGCATCAATATTTGTTATTATTTTGTGATCTAAATGAGATATTAAAAAAATCTATTTCCCTGTCTATTTGAATTTTTATAAAAATCACAACATAATATCTATCTGCTCCTGTCAAAAGAGAACCAAATGCATTAAGAGGCTTAAGGTATATTTCATTTTACCGTAAAGATCTGTCAGAATATGGGGCTAATCATATGCTAATACAATTTGAATTGTGTTCACTTGAAATATTGACAAATGTAATTTAATAAATCTGAATTTTTATGTGCTGTGAAAAAATGTTGAATTTGGATTTCTTGATTTGAATTTGAATTTCAATAACCTTTAATATTTAACATCTGAAATGTAATTCAACTGAATTTTTCAAGGTAGACTTTTTTCGAAGTACCAAAGTCCATGCATTTGTTTCCTCGCTATTAAAATACACATGATTATAATTTTACATTAGGCTATATGTAGATATTCCCTGTTGATGACCCCTGACCAACTTTCTGCTGAATCTGAATTTCATGATCGGAATTTTTGGTTTTGAATTTTAGGATATTGAATTCAATGTTCTGAATTTCTTCATCTTGAAAATTTAAAACTGTATTTTTACAAACTGGATAGCAGCAGTCTTTGAATTCAGAACACAAAAAAATCTAAAGTTTGAAAATACATCTATAAAAAAAAATCTTCCTTTGAAGAATTCAGTTGTATTACATTTCAGATGTTCAATATTTGTTATGAAATTTAAATACAAATTACGAATTTCAAATTCAAATTAAGAAATTCAAATTTAAAACAATGTTTAACAGCACATAAAATTTCGGATTTATTAAATTACAATTGTCAATAATTCAAATTAGCACAATTCAAATTTAGATTGTTTTGGCATATTATTAGCTCCATGGTATTGTAGATGACAGACTTAATTATGAAATGGATTAATGATGTACTTAGGTCCTACTTCTAATAAGTGACAGCAAAGTGGTTTTCCCCACCCACCGAATTGATTGACAGGCATCATGTTTCTATAATAACATGTATACATATTTGCAAATAAATTGAAATTAAAATATTTGTTACAACTCTCATGTTTTATAAGCTTAAAACATTTTTGAAACAGAGCATGTTTGTAATAAAGACAGTAAAATCCATATCTAATTCTTAACTGCTATGATCCCCTTGACTGCATGGTGTCAGTGAATGCACGTCTTTTTGTGTGTACTGCAAAAGGCATTTGTATGAGACTTATCATTTCAGAAAGGCTCGAATAAACCACCGCAGATACATGAAATATACTTACTTTGTATTTTTGTCTAATGAGCTGTATTTCAGCTTCATCTGAGTCTGTCTCTATCACTAACTGCTGTTTATCTGACATATTGCATGATGAGAAGCAGACACGCACATGGGAGTGGTGAGCGAGGAGAAGCAGCACAAATGCATTTAAAGCCAAAGGCTAGAAAAAAACAGCTACACTATACTCAGACACAAAATTGGCCAGATTGTGGAGGCCATAATAATTTGTCTGATGGGTATTTTCAGCTGAAACTTAACAGACACATTCTGAAGACACTAAAGGCTTATCTTACATCTTGTAAAAGGGGTTCAATAGGTGCTTTAATTATAATTAATTAAACTTTAATTATTATCTGATTAATTGTATATGGCATGCAATTAAAGGGATAGTTCATCCAAACCTGAAAATACTGCCATCATTTACACATCCTTCACTTGTTTCCAAACCTGTTTGACTTTCTTTCTGTTGAACAAAAAATACGATATTTTGAAGAAAGCTGAAAACCTGTAACCATTGGTTTCAATAGTATTTGTACTATGAAAGTCAATGACTAAATGTTTCGAGCTTGTTCAGTGTTCAACAGATTAAAGAAATATAAAAAGGTTTGAGACCATTTGACAGCAAGCAAATGATGATTACATTTTCATTTTGGGGTGAACTATCCCTTTAAACATTTCATTCAGTCCATATTAAACTATTATTTTCATAATAAGAACTTCTTGTTTTCTTCTCAAGGACTGGCTATTCTAAATCCAGTTCACGTCAAAAATCTCACTTCATCATGGTCACATAAATGGATATCGGCTGACTCTCAAATACATCATAAATCAATGCTCACCTCTCTAGTGAACAGTATGGCTGTATCGTAATGCTCCGGATGCCTGTGGCTGGACGGGTTGAAGAGCTGCTGCCAGGCACAGAAGCTACGCAGAGCTACGCCTCCATTGCTGGAGATGGACGGCCCGACCTCTTCATCCTCCACAATCAGCATCTTCACAAGCACAATGTTGATGGAGTTCTTAATGCTGGGGTGCTTGTAAACCTGGGCGGCCACTGACATCAAGGTCAGCATGTAGTGCTAAAAAGAGAAAGGCAACGGCTTGCTACTCGCCAACTGTGCAGCAGAATGTTAAGTGTGAAAACGTGATGAAATCTTGGCAGTGCAGCACACAACAGCTGGAACTGAAAGCTTTTGCATGGCATATTTTTAAAAGTTACTGTGGCCAATTACTTGTTTTTATTTATTTATTTTTTGTTTTGTTTATTAATTATTGACTTCATCAAAAATAGATGCAATATTTCATTAAAATCGAAATATTTTTATAATTTCTAAAAGGTGTGCTTATTACAGTACACTATTCATTTAAGTATTGAATAATATTAATGAATTATTTGAATTTATCATATGGTTAGTGTTAGAATGTGCGTTAAGTTTATGGTTAGTTAAGTAATTACGCATAATTCCTTGTATTTACTAATGTACAATGCATCAAGAAAGTATTTATTGCGCTTCACTTTTTTTCACATTTTTTATGTTACAGCCTTATTTTAAAATGGATTAAATTAATTTATTTCCTCAAAATTCTACACACAATACCCCAAAATGACAATGTGAAAAAAGATTTTTTTTATAATTGTTGCAAATTTATGAAAAATAAAAAACCTGAAATATCACATGTACATAAGTATTCACAGCCTTTGCTGTGAAGCTCTTAATTGAGCTCAGGTAAATTCTGTTTCCACTGATCATTCTTGAGATGTTTTAGCCGCTTAATTGGAGTTCACCTGTGGTAAATTCAGTTGATTGGACATGATTTGAAAAGGCATGCACCTGTCTATATAAAGTCCCAGGGTTGACAGTGCATGCCAAAGAAAAAAACGAGCATGAAGACAAAGGAATTGTCTGTAGACCTCCGAGACAAGATTGTCTCAAGGCACAAGGCTGGGGAAAGTTACAAAAAAAATTCTGCTGCTCTAAAAGCTCCAATGAGCACAGTGGTCTCCATCGTCCGTTAGTGGAAGATGTTTGGAACCACCAGGGGCCTCATGTATGAAGACTTGTGTTGAAATCATACTAAAACATTGCGTAAGCTCAAAGCTGTAAATGTGCGTACGCAGTAAAAATTCAGATGTATGAAACACTGCGTACACATAACCCCACGCATATTCTCTTTGTACATCCAAATTAACGTGAAACTGAGCGCACATGCACGAGCGCAAAACCCCTCCCTGCCTCCTCCCCCATATGAATATGCTAATGACTCTACTTTGGCAAAACCAAACAAAAAAGCAATGGCAAAAGTAGGCAAAAAGAGAAACTTTAAATAGAATGTGAATTAGAGGTGCTCCTGTCGGAGGTAGACCGGAGAAAAACGATGTTATTTGCAAGTTTGTCGTTGGAATAAAGTAGTTGAGTGATTTCCGCCCGTTTGATCAGAAGAGACAACAAAGTTAAAGAGGGAGGACAGCATCAGTGTGAGTGGCGTAGCGCGTAACACACATGGCATCATATTTTGACACTGTCATTCAAGAACGCGGTTCGAATCCAGCGTCTGATGAACTCATTCTTTTTCCCCCACTACATATCAGATTTTGTCTACTCTTCCATCATGAGGAACACAAGAAGGAATCATTAATAAGTGTGAGTATTATGTTAAGCGCATTTGAGCATAACATATTTTTTGTACATTTATTGAATGGAAATGTTTCTGATTCACGTATGCAAATTCGTCTTCAGATGGAGCCTTTATAGCGATGTGCGTGCAGTTGATCGCTCCGATTACAATGGGAAAACCGGCGATCGCTGCAAGTTGCACTTTAATGTTTGGCTGGTCAACTGCATAGTATGGAAACCTCATATACCTGCTAGACATGCGGATGATCTCGTCCCATACAGTTGTCAGCTGCCATTGCACGGCTCAAAAATACTTTGTAGTGTGCAATTTAACACAATTTTCTATAGGAGTCGCCAATGGAAATAAAACAAACACACACAAGAAATGTAGGTACGCCAGGCATGAAGTTGGCATGGAACAACACACATTCTCACGTTCATTTCATCGTTAGTAAATCCAAACGTCAGCAATTCTTATCGTGAAACCAGCGTTGTTACATGAGGCCCCAGAACTCTTCCTAGAGCTGGACGGCTATCTAAGCTGAGTGATCGGGGGAGAAGGGCCTTAGTCAGGGAGGTCATCAAAAATCCGATTGTCACTCTGTCTGAGTGCAGCAAAGTACAGAGACATCCTAAATGAAAACCTGCTTCAGAGTGCTCTTGATCTCAGGCTTGGTTGACGGTTCATCGTCCAGCAGGACAATGATCCAAAGTACACTGGCAAAATATCAATGGAGTGGCTTTACAACAACTCCATGAATGTCCTTGAGTGGCCCAGCCAGAGCCCAGACCTAAATTATATTGAACATCTCTGGAGAGATCTGAAAATGTCTGTTGAGGAAATAAACGAATTTAATCTATTTTGGATTAAGGCTTTAACATAAAAATGTGGATTAAGTGAAGCGCTACGAATACTTTCCGGATGCATTGTAAGTACATGCAACGTGTAACAAAGACACCTTAAATTAATGTTTTAAAAACTTTTAGCTGATAGAGCCACAAATTATTCTAGAGATTTTTTTCTACTGACTTTTTCCACATTAATATATGGTTTATTTGTTAAAAATTCCTGAAGTCAGCAGTATAAGTGTGAAAGCACAGTAAAATCTTGGCAGTTCAGTTCACAACTGCTTGAACAGAAAGGTTTTTGCATTATATAATTTCCAAGTTTTTGTAGACTGTATATGTCTAGCTTTTTCAGAATCATGTATTGTGATAAAAAGGACAAGATTATTGATTTTACTTTTTGGTATTGAAGTATGCCTTAATATACAGTCTATTAATACTCCTCTCTGGAGAATAATATTTAGCTGGCTGAGCCATCCATTTCTTTTCTACTGACTCTACATAAATATGGGGTTTATTTGTTGAAAATTCCTGAAGTATGATAAGTGTGAAAGCATGATGAAATCTTGGCACTACAGCTCACAAATGCTGGAACGGAAAGTATTTTGTATGACATATTTTCCAAGTTATTGTGGACTTGAAATATGTGACCAAGGACCACAAAACCTTATGTTGCATCGGTATTAATGGCAATATCCAGAAAACAATTGTATCAATTGAGCCAAATTGATTTATTTATTTCTTTTATGACAAAGAAACATAACAATAATAGGTAAAGATCAAGTTCCATGATATTTAGTAAATTTCCATTTGTAAATATCTCAAAACTCAATTTTTGATTAGTAATTAGCATTGCTAAGAACATGGTTTGGACATACTGAGTATATGATATTTTTTTTAACCCTCAGATTCCATATTTCAAATAGTATCTCAGCCAAATATTGTCATGTGCTGAAACATCAATACAAAGCTTATTAATTCAAATTTCATAAGCTAGATAATAATTCAAAAATTGATAGTTATCACTGGTTTTGTTGTCATATTTCTGTTTAAATAAGGCATACACATCATATACAGTACCTTATATAAGTTTATACAACAGTTCTGTCTGTTTCTTGAATCTGATTAGCTGATAGCCATGCAATATTCTGCAAATAACAGCACTCATACCACGTCTTCACCCTTCATCCTTGTGTATTACTCCTCCCACATACAGTGACAAGCAGAGGACAGAGTTTGACAAATTTTCCTGCTGTTAGGCAACATAAATGTACTTTTGAGGCTTTTTAGTCAAGAATGCAAATATTTTAATTGCAGCTATGCAGTTTATTTATAAGAACAGTGCCTATTTTAAAATATTTTTAAATTCGGAGCATTGGATTTAGTACATAGACCACTATTAGCCTGTCTGAGCAGACCAAAGAAAGTGATGGTTGACGATCCGCCACAAGATGGCGACAGAGACCGTATAATAAGTCCTTATAAGCAAAACAGCATTTTCTTAGCGCAAGTTTTAAATTACAGCTGAACAAATCATTATAAATCAGGTAAGTGACATTCTAAGTCCATCTCTCTCTTGTATTTTGTAGTGCTGTATTTTTGACACATAAACTGGTACTGTTTGCTTTGCCTTTTTTAGGGTTAAGTATTGTGATCTGATTGCAATAGAGAAATACTGGGAAATCATTGTAGATGATGGCATTTCATGCAGTTCAGCCTTATAATCTTAAAATGTGAGCAAAAATTACCTGTTTTGTCATCACTTTAGACATTAAGCTAGAGAATCATTTAAATACTAGCTCTAAAGTGACATTTGTATAGTAGCAACGGTTTCTGCTGCTCTGACATTAACTGCAGATGTGATGAAAGCAAGTAGTTCCACGTAAATAAGGGTTTTTGAGACTCTCTGTGTTTGATTGTCTTTTTAATATACATGATTATACCGTTGAACTGTGGAATAAACGCAATATCACACTGGTAGCAGTGCAATATGGCTGTAGATCAGCACTGGTGGGGACTAAGGCACTTACGCATGCCTCCCATCAGTGTGGACATAAAGCCATATCGCGCTGCTACTCATGTGATGTTGCTCATATTGCTGCAAGCAATAGGGCCAAGCAATCCAAAGGCAGAATTTACAAAACAGTCCATATAAATACTCTATTCGGTATAGGCTTTCAATGGGGAGAAATCTAGTTGATAGTCATAGACCAGATATTATTCTAAAGATTTCTTTTCTACTGCTATTCACATAATTATGTGGTTTGTTTGTTGAAAATCCCTGACATCAACAGTAAGAGCAGCTGGTGGTCCATTGATTTTATGAGGCCTTGTGTTTCCATCTGCAAAATTTGGAGAGTTGGATCCCAATATCAACATCTGGATTGCTATCTGCCTCATGATCCCGACTGGGACAGTGCATTTTTTCGCACTCCAGTCTCTTCCAATCATTTGTTTTTGATGACTCGATGATGGAGAATTTGAGTAGGAGGTGGATCATAAGTGGGTGTGAAGATCAGTACAGTTCTTGTGAACCGTGACTCATTCTTCTAACTGTACTCCATAGTTTGAACAGTTTGACACGTCCCTCAATGTTCACTAAATTGCTCTTAGCGGTAAGGTAAAGTTTTATTGTTGTTTTGATTTTCTGAACTGGCATTTGACTCAAAAGGCGGGTGTAGCTTATAATAATTGGAATTTATATCCCTGGGATGGTTTGCAGGTCTTAACTGGTCTTCAGCATAGATATATTTGTTTAGTTTGCAAGTTTTGTGAGGATTTTAGGTGGTCAGCATCACCAATTTTGTCCATTGTTTGGTTTAAGTAAGGACTACACCAGTCTTAGTGGAAGACCACTAAGTAAATTGGAAGCCAATTTGCTTATGCTATAGACCAGGGGGTGGCCAACCCTGTTCCTGGAGAGCCACCTTCCTGCAGATTTCAGTTGCAACCCATATCAAACACACCTGCCTGTAATTATCACGAGGTGTTCAGGTCTTAATTAATTGGTTCAGGTGTGTTTGATATGGGTAGCAACTGAAACCTGCAGGAAGGTGGCACTCCAGGAACAGGGTTGGCCACCCCTGCCATAGACCATTTTAAACCAGCTAAGACAGTAATTTACTCAAGCACTCTGTTTACTTGTACCAGAACTGTAAGACATGTTTTCTGATGAATCCAAAAGATGATATATTAATAAATCTTGAAAACAAGTAACAATTGATTTCCATAGTATTTGTTTCAGTACTATAGAAGTCAATGGTTACAGGTTTTCAGCTTTCTTCAAAATATTTTATTTTCTTTTTAACATAATAAAGAAACTCATAAAGGTTTGGAACAACTTGAGAGTGAGCAAATTCTATTTATTTTTTTGGCATTCCTTTAAGTCAAAAAAGGCCTTTATTTGTGTTTTCTATTTAGTTTTTATTGGTGAAATCTCTATTGCCTGTATGCTAGTGTACTATGTAAGACCAGCAAAAAAAAAAAAAAAAAACAGGTCATCACATCTTCAAATGGTAAACTGGATTATGTTAGATGATGGATGGTCAGTCAATTATGACCAGCTTGGGACATCTTGAACCAGCTTTGCCAGGCATGGTAACCACCTGGTTGACATTTTTTTCCATAAAATAAAAAATAAATAAATAAATAAATAAATAGAGTGGTTTCAGGCCAAGTTATTTTTTTTCCATAGAGTGCACCATAAAGGGTTGAACAAACTAAAAAGCAGATTTTCAGCTGTCAAAACTGCTAAGAGTAAACACATTTTTATCTTCACACGTGTGAGCTCTCACCTTGATCTCGTCCCCATAGAAGTGTGTGAGGGAGGCGTCACCGACAACCAGCGTCTCAATAAACCTGGGAGTTGAGACAAAGCGCCTGCGCCTGGATGGCATCTGGATCCTTGAGTTTTGAAGATCATCTCTCATATCTGACAGCTGTTTAGAAACCTGCGAGGACTTTGCAAAACGTCTCCTTTTAATGACATGCAGCTGTTCGGTTAACTTTCCTTTAGTCCCCAAACCGAAAGATTTCGGTTCGATTAGATATTCTTTACCATCTGAAATAAACGATCCTAAAATCCCACGACATAAGCTGACAGAAACGACTGAGTCTTCACTGGAGTCAACAAAGCCGGTGTAAAAGCAGCCTTTTAAAAACTCTGTCCCAGTCTCCTCGGTTTGATTCAAGGATTGATAAAAATCTGTCAGGTTGCTGGTTGACTTTTCTTGTGGTTTGACTTTGACGCGGTAAACTTTCAGCGCTGGCGATATGAAGGTGCTGTCCGGTGTCAAATTGAGTGTGAAATTCCTGCCGAAAGCCGAGAGCCTGAAGCTGGGCTGCGTTTCACTCCTCTTTGCCACTCGTCCACCGCTTCTTCCAGTCAGTTGAACAGGTACAATCTCTTCAGTCTCAAACGAGTGAGCAGATGTTTCAGCGAAGAGGCAAACAAATATAACTAAATACGACCACATTTTATTAAAACACCGCTATTCCTAAATTAAAAAATAATAATAATATTTGTAACTTATTGATCAACTAATCTAATGTGACTGACAAACTTTCATAAGCCTTACTCAAGCACTTTCTCTAATATTAATATTATTAACATTTATGACTACTATCCAGCACATGCCACTAGCTTAAAACTATTTTGAAAGTGAATAAATTCAATGCATCCTTACTATGAGTGCAAATTGAATTATAGGTAAATCGGAGCCAAGTTCCTGAGCTCTTTAGTCCACAGGACTGTCTCTGGATTGAGGCGCTGGTATTTATACTTTCTGAGAAATGAGAGGTTTATTTTTGATATCCAGCGCTGCTGTAGTCTCTCCTCCCACCAGCGCTCATGAAAAACCTCTGGATCGGGTTTGCCCAATGAAAACTGAGATGCACACTCCTTTCTAAATAGCAACAGTTTGTCAACTGAGTTGTTAATATTAATGTATTTCAAGACTAAACGTGCTGAGGTTGCCAATATGTTCCCGCAATAAGCCCAGTAAAACTTTTATAAATATTAAAAGGGAACTTTTATAAATAGATACTTGTAGCCTAATAGTTAGTAATTATTATAATATGAATTTCAAGATTTCGTGTAATTATAATATAGTATTTCTAGATTGAAAGTGCTGTAATGACTAAACAGCATGCGTTTAGATTAGAATTGACCCAAAACCTTCATTTAGAAACATTTTTTAAAAAGGAAAAAGCCTCCAAAAACTTATTTAAATAGCCTATTTAAAAAAAGAACTTTTATAAATAGATACTAATAGTAATAATTAGTAATTATAAAAAGAATTTATGCTTATAAACGCTGCACAAAATGTTGCATTTTTTCTTTCATTTTTGGCTAACTTGGCCTAATTATTTAAACAACAAAAAAGTGATGATTCATGAATTAACGCTACTGCTGTGTTTATAAATCTGGAGAGTGCTTTGCACAAAAATTAAGGGCTATAAAACGTAGTAATTCGTACACACAAACACACACACACACACACACACACACACACACACACACACACACACACACACACATACACACACACAAACACACACACACACGATTCAAAGATGATTCCTTGGATTTACTTTTTTAAGTTAAATGGTTGTAAACAATTTATTTAAACAAACAAATTAAGTTGAACATTACTAAATTTAATTAGTTTGGTTAAATTCTACACATATTGTTTGCGACAATTTTGCAAACATCTTTTTTTTCAGTGTATAAGATCATCATTATTGAAACATTAATATTATTTTACAATACTCTAAAAATAAATTAATGTTATGTATTGTAGTTGACAACTCAGATTATGTAGACATGAGACTTAATATACAATTTCCACCAGGTGGCGGTAAGACATTGTATATGGATGTGCACAAACGCACTCTGGCTTCATTCATATTTTCGTTCTATTTTAGGCGGTTTGTTGATATTTTCTGACACGGACACCAGAGGGCGAAGATTTTTGAGATAGAAAGATGCAACACTGCTGATGCCCAGAACGAGCTGTAAATTAATGTAGCCCTTTTAGTCTATATCAGGGGTGGGCAAACTCGGTCCAGGAGGGTCCATGTCCTGCACAGTTTAGCTCCAACTCTAATCAAACACACCTGCTTGTAGATTTCTAGGGATGTTGAAGACACTGATCAGCTTGTTCAGGTGTGCTTGATTAGTGTTGGAACTAAACTGTGCCGGACACCGGCCCTCCTGGACCAAGTTTGCCCATCCCTGGTCTATATGATTAATATTTTTCAAAACATTTTGTGTATCATCTTTCAAGTTATATGCATTTTTGTTAGGACTATGTTGCAATGAATATATTATGTTTATGAAGGTTACAATAAAAAAGTCTATATTAGGTTTCATTATGTTTATGACAACAGTTGAATGAATAAATGTCATTTTTGTTATTAAGTTATACAGTTTTAATGAATGTCTGAATGAATAAATTAATCTATATAGTGCTTTTTTAACGGTGTATTGCTATTTTATTAGGTTGGGGGAGGGCCTCTTGGGGTCTCTCAACCCACTAGTCTTTATGCATATTAATTAGCAGGGAAAATCTATGTTAAAATACAACAAAAAAAGATATCATTTGGTTTACACCACAAATGAGATCTCAGTTCTCAAAACCCATAGCAAGATTATACAGAATGGCTCACAAACATCAAGAAAGGTCTGCTCATAGAAATGCATTCCTTGAGCAGAACAATGATGGAGATTTTCCAATATCTAGTCAGGCAAGTCCATAGAACCACTTTATCAAACATGACTTGTTCCACCGTGGGCAAGGGCAAAGAAGCTGCGATGTTCTATATGCAGATCATCTGGCAGTTCATGCAGAACTGGCCCAGAACTGGCTTTCATGGCCCTGTCATGAGCACGTGTGTTGAAGTCAGCTGATAAGTGGGGGGTTGGGAAAAATTTGAAGGACTTAAGCATCCACAAGCAGTGCACAAACCCGCAGAGCCAAGAGTTACAAGCACAGAATTATGAATCTCAAATAAGTTCTCAAAGAAGATTTATTAATCTCTTGATACTTTCTTATGTGAAACAGCAGTAAAACACTTGTGACTTATACCAAATGCAGGCAAATTTATTTGAACTTGTAGCAATTATATTTTGTTAAGCTTTAATTTACCTATCAATTCTCTATGGCAGGGCTTAAATATTAGTTGAAATTCTGAAACGTTGAGTTAGATTGGGCAACAAAGGCTCATTGTTAGTTCTTTGTCAGGTCCTTAAATAGAAAGGCATGTCCACCTATACTGTAAGTATACTATAAAATTAGTTTTTGTTGTGTATAATTTCAAGTTATCTGCAGGGTATATCAATTTTACCATCTTAAATAAATATTCCTTAGCAATTTTGAGGAATCACCTGTTGCTAAATAAGCAAATAATGAAATAAATCAACAAAGTAATAAAACCCCTCTAACCAAGGTAGATGACAAAGCCTAAAATATCAACACTGCAGCATTTAAAACAATAAATAAATAAATAAATAAATAAATAAATAAATAAATAAATAAATAAATAATCAGCACGTGGGCCAGGCATTTGCATATCAATTGGGTTTTGGTGGCTTTTGACACACAATTTCAAAGTGCAAGTTGATAGACTTGACCATTATTGTCTCATTTTAAACTACAGAAAATGGGGTTTTGTGAAAAGAGCTATGTTAGTCTATGAGTTGTATGTGTTCAGTCAATGAGCAAGAATGAGTTTCTTTTTTCTGCTGAACAAAATAGTTTTGTTTTTTTTAAATGTTCGAAATGGGTAACCATTGTCCTCTGTATTAGGAAAAACTAACATTGTAAAAGTCAATGGTTACTGGTTTCTAACATTTTCAACATAGCATTATTTGTGCTCAACAGAAAAAAAAATAATAATGGGTTTGTGACAAGTGAAAGTATAGAGTAAATGATAACAGATGTCAGTTTTGGGTGCAATAAGTCATTTTTGCAGATTAGTATAAACAGGAATTGCTTTTACAGTCTGCTGTTCCCAAGACAGAGCTTGCATTTTAATATAAGGTAATGTATTTTTTATTAAATGCCATGTCAGTAACCAAAGCTATTTTCATAACAAGAACATTTCAATTATCAATACACTATTAAAAACAACAAAATTAAATAAGATTTTTAGTGTTAGTACATTATTTAAAAATGTCCTTAAGAAAGTTTATTTCATTTAAAAAAGCCTTCTGAAATCATTAAAAGCAGGACAGTCCAGTAAAATGTGTTTTACAGTAAGGGGAGTTGTGCAGTACAAACATTAAGTGGGGTCTCCAATCACCTGATCAAAATGTCGTAAAACTTTAGATTTCAGGTTGTATTTCATACAGTTTATTATTTTCCAATACATCCCACTCCTCTAGCCACTTGTTTAAGATGTAAACATTGATAAAAGGTTTCATCACTGAAGAAGGAATTGGGCATTTGTTCACTACTTGTTCCAGATTGCAAATATTTTAAAAACATAATAAAAAAAGTTTAGAAATGTTTATTGCAAAAATTAAGTTCTGCATCACATCCTTGTCTCTTTTGTGAATATAATGCAAAGTAATTAAAATTAATGGTGGGTTTATCCATGGATGTTGTTAGTTATTCAGTTCTATTGGACTCTCATTTGTATCTTTGTTCACTGACCCTTTTCTTCAATTAAGAAAGCCCTTATTTATTCTCTTAGTACTTTAGTAGTATAAAGTATTGTTAAGGTAAAATCACCAAAACTACATGATTGTTTTAATAGGATTTATTACCTTTTCTCATATAAATAATATAAAGTGTTGTGTCTGCATTACAACCAAAAGTATTCGATAACCAACACATGTATTGTATTTTATTTAATTAATAAGACACCGTACACTCTCAGAAATAAAGATACAGGAGCTGTTACTGGGGCAATGCCTTTTCAAAAGGTAGATATTTGAACCTGAAGGGTCTATAATGGAACTTCAAAGGTACTTTATAGGTACATGTGGGCATTAATATGCACCTTTGAGGTAACACTGTGAACTCTTTGGGTACAAATATATATCTTTTGAAAAGGTACTGCCCCAGTGACAGCTCCTGTACCTTTATTTTTATTTAAAAATATATATTAATTAAAAATAACAACAAATACACCCGTTAGCACAGGCTTTTCCCATCAAAGCCCCTTGCCAAGTATTCCACACCTCTACAAATGACAGTGATTTGTAAGGAGTGGGAGGGAACTTCTGAAGCGCGCCTGGCTTGATGCTCATAATAAGAGAGTCAGATGCCTCTGCGGTGTTCAACATGAACCATGAGCTCTCATCAGAACCTCCCAAAAGCTCTTATCACAATCTGCAATGATTACATGTGATTTAAACGAAGTAAAAAAAAGAGTGTGCTGGTTTCACAGAGGATGGCGATTAGCTTAATTCTCATGACGGATGTACAGAACCGTGATCAAGAGCATCACGGTGTGAATTAAGCTTTAAGGGGATATTTCACCTCCAACAATGATGTCGGTTTTCCCCGTTTTGTTTTGTCTTTTGCATGTGCTGATTTTAACGAAAAGATACCTCTGTGTGGAAACTGATTTTTGTGAACCTGTTCGACTTGACCGTGAAAATGTCCCAAGTTTTGACAAACCGAGCAAAGAACTTGTTGTTTACCGAATAAACGCGTTTAATCAGGAATTCTATCTTAATCTTTTACCTGACTCCAGTTTCCTTGCTCCTGACGGCACATTTCAAGACACCTCATCTCCAAGCGCGCTTTCGGGAGATGAATTGAGAAGATGCTTCTACTCTGGTGATATCAACGCAGACATGAATTCATATGCAGCTCTCAGTCTGTGTGGAGGTGTCCGAGGAGCGTTTTCTTATAACGGGATGGAGTACATCATTGAGCGCAGGACAGCACCAGAACTGATCTCAGATGATGCTGGAAAAACGCACGTCATCCGCAGGAA